ATAGGTTTATTATCTTTATCTCATTTGTTTTTTCTCTCTCACTCTCTTTTAATTAGGAGAACTAAGATTCCTAATATTGTGACTGATTTGAATGGGTTATGTACATTGAGGAAAAAAATACATATATTTTGATTTTTAATATTGTCATGATTTTATGAGTGTAAGATATATTCAGTACTTATCCTGTCTGAATTGGCAGTGAATGGCCTGCCAATGGCCTATAGCCATATTTTTCTCAAATATTTCTCTCCTATCTTCATAAATACGTCCTTTCTGTTTTTACTTTTTCCCATTATCATATTATACTCTCCCATTCTCATTGTAAATGATTAAAGAGAAGAGGAGAGAAAGTGACTTTCTAAATGGAAGTGTGTTTTGATGCCAGTGACTTTTCCTGGCAGCACAGGGATGTGTCTTTCTATCTTGAGTAGTATCACATCAGAGCAAATCTGAATCCCCCTCTGCATGTCATCAACACATCTACATTGCCCCACGTATATCTACAACCATTCAGCATGTTCTTTTTACTTCCACATCTGAATCAGAGGGCCCTGTTAATGTGAGAGATACCCATGGCTTTTTATCTGTGACAAGCAGGAAATGAATACCCCAAGAGCTACGCTTAACCAGTGAGTACAAAGGTTGGGTACAGAAACGGCCCAATTCTCTCACATCTGGGATGGGATAATTCCGAATTCTGTCCTTTTATTGAGTTTCCCATGGAATTTAGCTTTAGTTATTTATTAATATGCCCTTTTATGGCTCTCTTAACTTTCTTATCTCTATTTCCTTACTAGCATTTTCTGCATTTTTTCATGTAAGCTACTTGTACTAAAATCCTTTTTCTCTAAGGACCAAAGCTAAACACTAAGAATTGAGAAATGCTTTTGGAGAGGTAGAGTTATAAGAGATATTCTGCAGGGAACTAATTTTGTAAAACCTTGACTCTTCTAATTGTCTTGCCTTCTCCTCTCTCTCGTCTTTGGAGATCTCTTCATACATTCATTCCCAGTTTTGCTACCATTTCTGGTGCTCACCATGCTCTCTAGCTCTTCACACAACTCCATTACCTATCTTGTAAAAAGTTTCCACTTGCCTCTACAGCGCCTTTCAGCTCTAGTTCTTTATATGTCCTTCTGTTTCCTCCCAAACTTTTAAATGAGCATCCAAGAAAATTGCCTCTATTTTCTTCTTTCTATTCACTTTCTGCTTAACCACAGACAATTTGGGCACCATTGTGACACTTCAGTCAAAGAGCTCTCAAGTTCCCACTAATCACCTTCTTATTGCAAAATGCAGAGTCCTTATTTGTTCTCTCTTCATTTCTGTCACCATCAAGTGCATTGGTACCATTTCCTTCCTGAACACTGGTGTCTTGGGCTATTGAATTCTTAGAATTTTAACACTGGAAAGAGCATCTAGTCCACCCTACTACTACATGTGTACAGGCAAAACTGAAACCTGAAAAGTTTGAATTATTTGCAGAGCAAGGACTAAAAATGTAAAAGCTGGCCATTGATGACAGAATGGGAATCCTTATCCCACATCTTCAAATATTCCTGATTTTTAGTCCTTGCTTTGTCAAAGTCTCCTGCTTTTTCCCTCTGCAGACCTTCCATTTTAGCTGTCAGGATGATGATTCCAAAATATATAGCAAAACTTATCACTCCTTTGCTGAGCCTGCTGTTCCTCTTTATGTACTTAAAATAAAATCTGAGTTCTTTTCCTGCTTGTATTCCTCTTGCAGCCGCTCTGTTTTACCACAGAGATCCTGTGGTGGCCACAGCTTGCCAGCAAGACAAGTAGAGCCCCCCATGGGGCATTTGCTTTGCTTTTCTTCTGTTTGAGATGCTGTTCTCCCAGAACATTGCACATTCTTTCTCATCATTTCGTGTCATATTAGAGGGACACCTCGGATAGCCTTATTCTGATAGTCATCTCTGGCACTGTCTAAGCCAGACTGCTGTCTATCACAGTCTACTGTTTTATTTTCTTCATAGCATTCATGGCTGGCCACAGTTATATTAGTTTCATGTTTTTGAGTTTGTCATGATTCCAAACATTAGAAGATAATTTCATGAAATATGGGAATTTTATTTTGCTTTTCATATTTCTAGTACCTAGATTAGCAAATGACCATAGTCAGTGCTTAGTAAACCTTTGTTGAAAACATAAATGAAATGATCATGTCAAAATTTTTGTCTCATTTCCAGGAATCCTTTGCCTCCCTTACCCTCCAATCCTGTTAGTCAACTACTCTCAAAAATGTTTTTCTCTGCTGTAAGTAAAGTGGTTGTCTCATGAACCAGTAAAGACAAAATTTAGTCGAGAATAGGAGCCTTTTTCAGTATCTCATTGATCAAGCTGCCGCCCTGTGTCTCTCTAACGATCACTCTGTCAAAGTTTAATTAACATTTCATTTTCTAGAAATCACCCTTGTTGATTACCGTTCTTTAAATTATGTAAAATGACCATTGAATTTTATGTAATTTAAATACGTATATTTTACATAATATCTTGAATTATTTCTATTGATTTTTCATAATATTTAAGCACTGTGTCTAGGCTTCAGAGACCATAATGTTAGGTGAAGTAAATCAGATACACTAGCTTAAGTATCCCATGATTCCTCTTATATGAGATAACCAAAGTACAAATAAAGAGGAAAATCTGAGGTAGATGATAAGAAGCAGGAAGACAGTTCTTTCTCAAAGGGGAAGGGGATCAAGAGAGGAAGACAGGGAAGGGATGGGGAGGGACAGTGAATAAAAAAGAATTAAGATGTATCGTGTACATATTACAAGTACAAACAAGGACTATAAATATTAAATACTGTAAATGTGCAAAAATGGGAGGGGATCAAGTTACTATGTGAGGGGAAAGTTGGGGAAGGTAAAGGGAAGAAAAAGGAATTGAGATGTTTAATGTATATGTGCCGACTCCCTACAAGCAATGTATACATTATGTACTGCACACCTGTACCAATAAAAACTGCAAATCTAAAAAAATAGTACGTTAAAAGTAATAAAATATGAAAATAAGAAAAAGTGGCAAGAGTGTGATGTAAGTGTGAATGAAGTGAGAGGGCAGGTCTTGAGGGGAATTAACGGGAATGTGTCTCGTTGCGATATTTTTTAAAAAATTTAAACATTCAAGGAATTTTTCAGTCACACCTTGTATATGACAGTAGTGTTATTTAGTTTATCTATGATCATTTGCCAAGCTAATAGGTTGTGGATCTGGAATATAGCTATCAGATTCCAGCTTCCATTTGCCATAACAGGGGTTTCTCTTTGTTTAAATCAGCAATGAAGTCCTAATTATTACAGATTACAGTATGGGGTGTGTATGTAAAATTAAAGTGTAAATTGCTGAGATAGCAGTGGAAGCCCATAATATACATAGAGAAGAAGATGAAATTATGTTTGTAAAATAAAGTTGATTCATAATTCCAATTTTGGTAATTAATTACATTCATCCCAAATTTTAAGAGAAGGAGTTGTACCTCTTGGTTTCAAAGTTGAGTTGTTAATAACACAGGCAAACTTAATATTTGTAATCATAGGAATGACTGTGTGACCTGTAGCCAAACATTATTGAATCGAAGCTGTAAAAATGCTACCCTGATCTCAGTTTGTTTTCCGCTGTGTATATGTGTACCTCAAACTTACCCAGCATTTTTCTGAGCTGAATTTGCACCTGTTTTAGTAGTGAATACTCCGGCATCCTGTGTGTAGTTATGCATCTGTGGGCCTGATTTCATAAAGGACCCTCACTGCGTATTTATATATGTAGACAGATGACAGGATAAATTATGAAATCTGCACAAAGCTGATTACCTTATATCAATTTACTGGCTCTATAGTCTCCATTGTTATATACATATACAGATATATGTGTGAATTAAGAAAGTTGTTTTTACCCACTTCATAACATAGTTTCAAAAATAATTTAAAATACTTTTGGAACTTCCCAAGTACCCTGGTGAACACAACTTGAAAACCTGATTGTGTCCCATATGCTGTTTCTAAGTAGATGGTGTGAGTCCCTTAAGGATAAGAATTATATCTTCTTTTTTCTTCTTTATTTGCAAATGATCTTAGCTTAGTACTAAATATAAAGAGTCCCTCACCATTGATAATCCCATTTAGTCCAGATGGCTGGCAGTCAGCTCTGTTGAAGCAAAGATTTCTGCAGGCTGTGTTTAGAATTAATAATATGATAGAACGATTTCACCTGGCAGTGTGGAGCAGGGGTCTTGATGGATCCACACAGTGGATCGTATTTTGTTCATATGATATCCTCTTGACATTTCTTCTTCCCTTGAAAACAAGAGCAAAGCATGAGTCTCAAATTAACACTTCTCAACTTCCAAAAAGCTGCCAGACACAAGGTTGAATGAAGAGCTTCCAACTGGGAGGCCAGACAAGATAACATTTTATGTCTGCCTCAAGGCTATATCACAAATCCTGGAGGGTTAGAGAAGGGACAAAGGAGTCCTTAAAAGCTGTCTTTATTGAGCCGAAGAACTAAATGCCTTCAGCTTAGAATTCTGAATTCACTATTTTTAATATTTCATGATTTTTTCCCTTAAATTAATGGTTATATGGCTAGTGACTTTAGTGATTGTATTTTTTTTTTTAGGTGCTAAGCCTTTCACAAATCAAGCCACCACAGTTGACGTATTTTCCTCTGGTTTAAAACACAGCTGATTCCATTGTGCAGATAAAAAAGGATTAACTGTATGACTCCACCTAGGGCTTTGCTGGATTTGTCCCTGCTCCAGCAGACCCAGTAGCTTTGACCTGCCAGAGTTCAGTAAAAACAGTAAACCCTTTACTAATGTAAGTGTCACTCAAAATTTGTTTAACAAACTCTTCTTTACCTCAGGTCTGAAGAGAATGCAAAAGCAGTGGAGGCATTTCAAGCTTTTCAGCTTTAGACCAGTTCTTATTTTCTAGTTGGAGATTAATGAAAACAATAATTCTTTCTTACTTCAGGAAAAACTGTCAGAGGAAGAGAGAAAACACAAGGAAACTTTGGACGATCTTCACACGGTAGTAGATGAGGATTCAAGGAGTGAAAGCAGCAGTACAGATGAGGGAAAAGAAAAAACCAGATTGCTGTTAGAAAGATTGAAAGCTCTAGAGGTAAGAAATGAAACCATTTTTGCACATTTAAAGAAAAATAACAATGTTCTGCTTTTATTGGTACTGGCTTTAAGTGAGCGTAAATCTTCCTTTCTCAGTTCTTGCAGACTAATACAATCAGATGTCTGCCATTGAGATTCTTTTGTCAATGATGAAAAAAAGTTAAAAATTTTAACCCTGAAAGGAGCTCAACACACTGGCTATGATTACATTGCCTTAAAAAGAGAACATAGGCCAATAATTCATTTTAATTCATTTCAGCCTTCAAACTAGATCAATTCCTAAAATTGTGAGCTCCTGAGCCATGTGACTGTATGAAGCTTCACTATTTTCTTAATACCTACAAGAATGAATGAATATATGGATAAACTATAGCTACTAGTATTCAACAATGATATAAAATGTCTATAAACATATATACATTTAAGAGTTAGAACCTTTTCATTTAAAAAAATCATGTGTGGAAAATGCAATATATAAAGTGTATAAAAGTAGAGTTGAAGCTAGGGTAAAGGATCCTCTAAGGAGATTTTTGGAACACCATAGTCCTTCAAAATAGTTTGCGAAAATACTGGTATACAGTATTATCCAGTGGCATTTGATGTTACATCGTGTATTAAGTCCTGTATTTTTAACAATCCTCAAAGAACACTGCACTTACTAGTGCTTGAGTAAGATTCCATACACTGAAAGACTACACAAAGATGTTACTTTTCTTATGAGTTTGCTTCTCTTTTCCCCATAAATTTATAAGGAGTGGTCACCCAGCATCCATAAACATAGTTTTACCATAAGTTCTACAGAATCGTGAAAACATTTGCAATGTGAAGAGGGCCAGGAAAAAGGTCTTCTCTGTTTGGTTTGTGCAGCCTTGCCTGTAATTCCCCATATTGCCTGTAGTGGGCGTTTGTTTTTCTTATGAGTTTGCTTCTCTTTTCCCCATAAATTTATAAGGAGTGGTCACCCAGCATCCATAAACATAGTTTTACCATAAGTTCTACAGAATCGTGAAAACATTTGCAATGTGAAGAGGGCCAGGAAAAAGGTCTTCTCTGTTTGGTTTGTGCAGCCTTGCCTGTAATTCCCCATATTGCCTGTAGTGGGCGTTTGTTTTTCATTCTAAGATAGTTTTACCATAAATTCTACAGAATCGTGAAAACATTTGCAATGTGAAGAGGGCCAGGAAAAAGGTCTCTGTTTGGTTTGTGCAGCCTTGCCTGTAATTCCCCATATTGCCTGTAGTGGGCGTTTGTTTTTCATTCTAGTTTTTTTCAGCAAACAGTACAAAGTACACGATATGCTTACATTTATGATCTTTGGAGCCAGATTCTCAGGATTTGCTTGAATTTCTGTTCAACTGTGTTCTTGCTCTAAAACTGTCAGAGTTACCTAGTCTTTCTCTTTCTCCTCTGTCACTGTGGCCTCATTTGCAAACGTGGGAGTAGTAATAGTAATTTACAGAGAAGTAAAGAGGATTAAAGGAGTTCATATTTATATAGCAGCTATTGTCTTGTATTTAGTCTCTTTGGTCAGTCCACTCCCTACATATTTTCTTCTATTTACCTGAACAGAATGATTAATACAAGAATGATGAATAAAAAATTCAGTCAAGACACAAAAGTGTGGCTCGAGGCAGGCAGGTAACCAGCTGATGTCAAACACCTCCTGGAGGAGCCCCCTGTCCAGGAAGGGCCAGGCCTCCTAGGGTTCTCACTCTTTGTCGGTCATTGTAAACAGGTAGAAAAGCCTTCCCAATGAAGACTGAGTTTTCTGCTTGAGAGTTTTAAGAAACTCATAGCTTTGTCTTCAGCCTGAATTAGCTGAATTCGAAGGGAGGAATGAGCAGATGTTACATGTATTAAATTGTTAGTTTTTATTTATAATTACAGTGAAATTTGTTCTCACTTTGTCTCATTGTCAGAGACAAGCTTGTGAAGAACATTTTATTTAATCAAGCTAAGAGGTTTTGAAGTATTTAAGAAATGTCTTTGGTAGCAAATGTTTCATAAACTTCAGAGTGAAAAAGAAGCCATATTTTTTTTCCTTCCACAACAGAGGACAACAGCTCCTTCATCCAGTATTAGCTGGGTGCAATAAGTGCAATAAATGATACCTTTCAGTCCTCATAATTTAAATTCATAGAACATTTTATTTTCTAAGTTAATTTTCTCTAGTTGAAATATTATTGCTTATTTTCAGAAATTCTTTGTTCAGTATTTGTAACTCTGGCATCTATATCTTACTTTCCTCTATTTGAGGATCCTACTCTTTTTATTCCATGAAATCTGAGCATCTTTTTATTATATGTAATTTAGTTTTCATGTGAATTTCATATGCTGCTCAATTTTAGTTTATTTTTTTTGGTACCAGGGATGGAACTCGGGACCTTGCACTTGGTGAAGCAGGCGGCAGAACCACTAGGCTAAGTCCCCAGCCTTCAATTTTAGTTTTTAATTGACTACTTACACTCAGTGTACAGGGTCTTTTGCATAGGTTGAAAACTATTGTGGGAAAATCGTTCAGTTTGACAAGACTGTGATTAGAGTTGGTCACAGAGCCCCATGGGGATTCATGCACTTCAGAAAAATATTCCTTAAAGATTGCATAATGTACCATAATGTATCAAAATTGCTTTGGCAAGATTTGATGTTATAAGCAAGATTTTAGAAAAACAAAATTTTCCACCATTGTGTTCTTGAAACAACTGTATGTGTATGCCTTAATCTCTTGGACCCTGTGCTCTAGGAAGTAAAGAAGAATTATTTTTAGGGTGACAGAAACACTTCTTTTGTTCGTGCTCCCCGAACAGGTCCCACACAGGTATAGAAAAGGAGACAGAGTCTGGTTCTAATATTATGTTATTGGTTAATATGGCAGTAATTTTTAATAATCGTTAATGTGATTTTTAAAAATTTAAAATCCTACTTGACAGCATTTTAGATTACATCTGAGAAGCCCCTGACTTAAGAATTAAGTATGTGTTTTCCCAGGCATCTCATCCCCAGCCCGAGGAAAATCTATTATCCCTAATCCAGGCCTTTTCCCTCTTACAGTCACTTCTAGGAGCAGTTCCAGCCACTTTCATCTCACAATCCCTTGTCTTCTCTCAGGACCAACCTTGTAAAGAGTGTCACCTTTGGTGGGATTTTCCACAATTCAACCCTACAAAGGATGGGGGTTATGGCGGACTCTCTTCAGATAGCTCTGTTTCTGCTCAATGTTTTGCCTGCCAGACATTCTCAGTAGCCCTTTTCTGCTCATCCACTCAATTCCCAGTTCCTTGCCCGGCCAGATCTCTCCCAACCTGTTCCTTCTCCCACAGCCATCGTTGTTATACAGAGCTTTTCAGGTCTGTAAACTTTGCTTTGTAGCTTTGTTTCACATCATTCCCCATTTCTAGGCTCATCAAAATATTTTGCTACTAAAGACATTTACCTTCCTATACAGAACTTCAGGACCAGCAGTCAGAATAATGCATATCCAGACTCCCATACACATACTTCTTTCTCCCCTTAGCAGCTGTTTGCTCTGCTTGGTGACTTGCTGTCAGTCATGTGCAGGTGGCGTGGAGAGCCAGCTAGCCATTTGCCCTCACAACTCAGCCACTATTTACCCTTGGTGGAAATTCTAATTTTTGTCCTAATGTCTGGTTGAGAAGTCATTTAACATATTTTATATCAGTGCCATGGGGCCACGTGGGTGATCTGGATGCCACTTGCATATATTTTAATTTATTCTTTCTTTCTTTCTTTCTTTCTTTCTTTCTTTCTTTCTTTCTTTCCTTCTTTCTTTCCTTCCTTCCTTCCTTCCTTCCTTCCTTCCTTCTTTCTTTCTTTCTTTCTTTCTTTCTTTCTTTCTTTCTTTCTTTCTTTCTTTCTTTCTTTCTTTCTTTCTTTCTTTCTTTCTTTTCTTTCTTTCTTTCTTTCTTTCTTTCTTTCTTTCTTTCTGTTTTGATTTTCAAGGCTCCCAATTCAGAGACCGCTTACTTGACTTAGAAAAAGAGCTCAGAGTTCTCACCAGCACTAACATGTCACAGTTTTCTTCTGTAAAAAGGTTGCTCCTCTTTTCCAACCTATCCTGTTCCTTTGTTTGAGGCATCTTCCCAGATCTGCCCTAAATCATCCATTGGCTTCATCTGGAATCTTTCCCATTTGTACTCCTGGGCATTTTCCTCAGACTCTGGGTTGGTTCATAGCATGTTCCTTGCAGTACATGCCATGTTTGTCTTCAGGCTCCCCTTTCCGTGTCCCAGCAGCCCTTTCTCTCAAGACATGGAAACTTCATACCTGACCCAAAGTCAAACTGCACATTCCCTTTTCTCACTTCTGATTACCACAGTATCTCTGATTGCCACATTCTAGCTATAGAGAGAACCATCCTGAGATCACGGGGAAGTTCTGAGCCACCAACTACATCCTGATAGTCTTAGCTATAGCCTCCAGAACAGAAAAAAATTGGCCTCCTTTAGGAATAATTTTTTGTATAGAAAAATATGGCAATTAAATATATTAAAGTGAATAACAGCTTTTTCTACTCAATTATGTCTCTCTGTGAAAGTATGACAAAGTGTTAAGCATAAGAATTTTATTAATCACTAATTCTTGTTTAAAATTAGGTAGTTTAAAATAGCCAAACCTGACTACACATCATAGTTATATATAGAATTCATTTATAAATATGTTTATATCATATATGTATAATTCATTATTTTATATATATGCATATGTGCAGAATACCTTCTATAGGACAAAAGCTGTTCAAGGTTCTAGGTTAATTCAGTTTTTATGGCCCCCACCCCAGTGGGTAGAGAGAGAAAGCACATTTTAGATAAAATAATAAATGGACATGTAAATAAATATGTAGGTAGGTGCCTCTGAATGCTAAAAATTAGATTATAAAGTAGTAGAGAGTTGTGATGTGGAAATAGAATGTCCCCGAAAATCTCTTGTGATGAGGGTTGGTCCAAAACACAGGGCGATGAATCATGAGAGCGTTAATCT